ATCCTTAATACTTAATTAATTAATAATAATATTAGTTAATTAATATATGTAATTATAATATAGATAAAAAAACCTGGAGGATATAATATGAAAGCATTTAAAAAGTTGAAGGGTTAAAACTAAAAATATTAAAGGGTTAAAATTGAAAAATAAAATAAATAAATTTTAATTATTTTATTATTTCATATAAGTGGGGTATAGAAAGAGTAGGGTGAAAGAAGTAGCAGGGGGTGGCGTTAGAATACCCTATTTATATTTCTATATCAGTTACAAACCACGTTATAATTCTATTGTTAATTAAACAATTAAGAAAACATTAAATATATATATTTACATATATTTATTAGTAACTTCATTTATCAATTTGTTTTCATTCATAGTATTTTCATTATTGAAAATTACCAAATAAAAATAGTAATTTAGCAGTTTCAAAATGCGTTATTTAGGAGGTGTTTGTGATTGCTTATTTGAAATAACTTATGTTTTTCTATAAAAACATTTATCAACTTGTTATAAGTCAGAAGAGTTTAACTTCTTTAAAAACTTCTTATTACCGGCTTGGCTCCGGAATAAGTTGTTTATCCAAACACTCAAAAGTGTTTATTACCGGTACCACACCGGAATAAGTCAATTAGTTGTTTTTATAAGCAATTCCAAACCCCCCCTAATTTAATCTCAACATATACATCACGTACATATTTCTTAAACTACGTCACATATACAAATCCTAAAAGATAATGACATTCTATTTTTAGAAACAAAAACGTCATCATTAAAAAATGTTATTATTTCAGATTCGTGTTCTTCCGTATGCTGGTATTTCACAAATTCTATTATAAAGGTGTCATATATGTACGTGTTTGTTCAGTGCCAATTTTTATTGGTTCAACTTTGACGGTTTATTGCTCTCTTCTTTAGAAATTGTGAATATATCGTCAACCGTGTCGTTCTCTAGAGAGTTTAGAGACATTCCTATAAAAAGCCATATCCAAATGTGTGAAATTCCTATCATTAACCAAGGGGTGGTGCCTGATTAGTTTGAGCTTGACTTCAAATGTCAAAAGTGTCTGGAGGTCCCAAGTTCAAATCCAAGAAGGAACAAAAATCTCCTTGTGGCCACGGAGGTTCAAATGCGGTGACTCCGGGTTACCTGCTTGCTTTAACAGGTGGTTGCCCTGAGATTAGTCGGCTCGCATAGCGGGTTGGATATCCAGATTAATATAAAAAAATTCCTATCATTTGCTTATTAACGTATCTCTAGTAGCTCACTCAGTAATATTGCGATGTAGGATTTGAATTAAATACACGCACAACCGTTGAAATTATACAAGTGTCCAGTGAATGAAATAGTAAAATCTAGTGTTTGTTAAACGGAATTTCTAACCTCGTCCCTTTTGCAGGATGAGTTTTTTTATTGTGACGATTTTAGTGGGAACGGCAACGACGATGAACCAGAGACAAGTATATGGAGAAGGGTGGGTGGACGGCAAATGTTACCTTGTGAAGAATGGTGTATACGTTGGCTCGGGGATACTGGTGCTTATCGCGACAAGTTCGACACTCTTATCGTGTTACTTGGAGCTGAATAAAAGTCGAGCCGTGCATGCTCAGATGAAATAATCGAAGATAACGGACCCCAAAATTCTTGTTGATACTTAGGCATAGAAACACATATAGATCAAAGTGTCGATGTGTTTTTTTTTAAACATATTTGAATATATGTTTTTTTTGAATTATATAATTTTGATCGAATATCGTAGCAAATGATTATATAATTTTGAATATATGTTTTTTTTGAATTATATAATTTTGATCGAATATCTTTTTTTTGTATTTTTTGCTTTCTAAACACTATATATAAGTGTCTTGGTTGAAGGATTTACATACCAAGTTCTCAATTTGTAAAAAACGCAAAAAACGTTCACAATTATCGGTTTCTCGCTATATTTTGTAAGACAATGTAATTTTAATTATAATAAAACGTATTTTTAAAATGTATTTGAGTGACTCAATTACAAATTTTATAATGTATTAAAATATATATCATTAAAAAAATAATTATTTTTTAATGACCGAGACCGGTTGGAACTAGGACCGGGACTGGCGGCTCATAACCGGTTACAATAAAGCTTGACCGGGCTCAATTTTTTCGACCGAGACCGGTTATGGCTGGTTATGAGAAATCTAGGGACCGATTGGGCCCGGCCCGGGACCGGTTTTTGGCCATTACTACCCGGAAGTAACCTATTGCTTCCCCTGTAGTCGTCAACTCGTTTTTGACAAATCCAATTGGGTGTTCATAATCTGAACAAGTCTTTCCTTTCCACTAGTTCTTGAAAGCTCTCAATCCCCGCTTTGCTTCTCCCTTTCGCATCGGTTCTGTATCAGATGATGAGCCCATGCGCAAACTCTCTCTTTTATTGGCGCCCGATAGGTATACGTAGGCTATTAGATTAAGTCAAAAGCCTACCAATGCATAAAGGTTCCGATTCAAGCGAGAGCCCAAACGGAGGAGGAGAGAACATCTTGATCGAAAAACATCATTAATAAAGAGAACCCGGTTAAAAACATCGACGTTTTGCCCTTAATTTTGTTTTTAGAGAATTTTCAATAATAAAAAAATTTATTATTGAGAATCAAAATCTCTGAAAAGACGTTATTCAACTTCAAACAACTTGTCTATTTCAAAGATTAATACATTAACTATATTATTAAAATATTTGATACATGTAATAAAGTATTCTTTTGGAACAATTACCAAACATAATACATTTTTTTATTACTAGCAGGATACTCGTGTAATGTATAGAGACATATCTCGATTTCAATGTTTTGTTTTATTCTTTATCTATGTCGGTATTCGGTTTTATGTGGTTTTGGTAAAACGATAATTTTTTATTTTTGAATAAAATATAAATTTGAAAATATTATAAAATTTTGAAAAAGAATATATCAATATTAATATCAAATTAACTGTTTAAAAATTATAGTTTTTTTTTGTAATTTCTTTAATTCAAAATATTTATTATAATTTAATTTAACGTATCAAAGTAATATAATTTAGGTTTAATAATATAATTTTTTATAACGATAATCATTAAGTAATATGTTAGAATTCAACGATTATCCTGATTATATTTAATTGAGGAGTTTATCATGTATTTGATTATGTTTATCTGCAGCTAGTTACACGAATTCAAACATAGAGCTTTAATAAGTTGTACTTACGCACAATTTACTTGTAATTTTGAATTTTAAATAATATGTATTAATAAACAGTACTTCGCGCATAAAAAATAGACTTTAAATTTTTTTATCAAATACTTTGTAATATAGTATA